CCCATTTTGGAAAATGGACTGTATGCAACACTACTACTTATTACTTCCTGCCTATTTTTGGAGTTATTTATATGGTGTTTCTTTCATTGAAATTATGCTAATAGAATGACACAATTTCCAGTTATTTCTCTTAAACCATGGCATAAACATTTACTTTTCAGCTATTTTTGAGATTTCAAAATCTAAATACCAAAAGGAAAAAATGGGTATTCCTTTAATTAAATGGCAGTATCCCTTTATATCAGTTTTTCTTAGCCTTGGCAGCTTTAAGACATATGGACTGCTGGCTGGGATATTCTGGGAGCTGAAGCCCACATCTCTTAAATTTGCCAAGCTTGAGAAACATTGCTTTAAATGCAATGCTATGTTAAGTGCAGAAAAGGAAAGTTGTGGCTTTCTAGTTGTAGTTCATGTTGTGTGACTGATGTTGATGCAATTACTTTGTCAGGGGGCTGCCAGAATGCTCACAAGTTGAATTGGAACTGAAACAGGAATTTCCAATTTAAAAATCCAATTAAAGTATCTACAGTAAACTTAGCAGCCTTAATTAATGTCTAATGAAGGGAGTCTTCAGTTACTATTGTGAAAATCTGTGCGATTAATGTTTCCCTCCAAAAGAAACCCTCAGAATGTGACTTCATCTGAACAACTTGGTCAGAAGTAAAGAATTCTGGAAGCTGTGCCCCAGTATATTTGCAAAGTGCTGTGTTGAGGAAAGCTGTTTAAATGTTAAGGGAGGGAATGTGAAGGCTCTAACATAATACCAATTTTAGCATATTTGTGATAAATCTTACTTAAAGTTCGATTTTCTGAAATTAATTAGAAAAGGGAGTCTTTAAGGGTCCATAAAATGCATCAGTAATTGGATCACGAGAGCTATTTCCTCATCTGAACTTGCCAGAGACTGCCATCTTGCAAACTCCTCTCCTTATCCAGAGAGGTATTACAAAGAGTCTGTCTACTCGTGGAATCATCTTCATTCAGCCAAGGTCGTCAGCTTCACTTTTAGTGAAGTCATCTTCAGTTCACCATTTCTGCCCTGGAAGTCTGATGTTTCAGTGATGTTTTTATTTTGGATAATACCTGTATTGACAATTGATTCACCACTTAAGCAGTGGCAAAAGGGATATATCTAAGTTTATGTGGCAAGGGGGGGAGGGGAAATCACAATTTAAACAAGTGTTACAAGATCCAAACAAAAAAGGAAAATTAGTTTTACTTGATTTGAAATTGTATTTTGTAACTTGCTGTTTGGTTTGGATAAAAGACTGAGTGCTGCTGGGAAATAAAAAGCTCTTAATGTTAAAAGGACATAACCTGAGGCTTGGGTGGCATGGATATTTGTGGTATGATAAAGCCAAGATTAATGTGAATTTTAAAAAACCTTCATGTTAGACATGCCATATTGAGAATATGAAAGAGATAAAATTCCAAACTGTGTCCAAAAACCTATTGTGGCTGTCAGCTTTAGGAGACGATAGAACTTGCTGAGATTGCCAAGTTAATTTGTTTGATTAGAGAAAAATAATATTTATTGCCAACTCAAAATCTGTTACAGATGTTTCATATAAAACAGAAAAATGAGCTTTACTATTTATAGTTTTGATAATTAGATAGGATAGACCATAGAAAGGAGACATAATGCAACTTTGGAGAAAGAGGTAAATTTATAATTGTATTATTTATACCTGCTGTAAAGCTACTTCTTTATATCTTTGTTCTTCCTTTCCTATTTTTCTTTTTCTTTCTGTCTTGCACTTTTAACTTTATCTTTGATTACTTTCTTTTTATTTATTTTTTAATTCCTTACTCTATTCAAAGAGTATGGCTTAATTTGACCACTTACCTTCTACCTTGTTGTTACAAATCAAGATGTTTGGAAGTGAATTTCATTAGATCTCTGCTGCAGGAGCTGCCCTGATCAGTGGTAGGTTTCTGGATACAGTAGAAGATGCTGGCTGTGAAGACCTGTACTGGCCCAAGGCCTGGGTATTGTAGAGATTGCCTTTTTCTGCTTGCCCTGTTCAAAAAGGAAGCACTTACTAACAATCCCCACCTACTAGGAGACATAGTGGGGAAAGCCCAGCAGCAGGCATTCTTTTAACAGCACCCATTGAAACAAGGGAGTTTCCCATCATGGCCTTCCAAAAGACGGTTGGGGATTAATTTTAACCAGCTGTGCTGCACCAAGTGAATTTTAATGTTAGTCTCCAATTTGGGGAACTAGATTTTGAAGTTTACTGTTTTAATTACAAGTATATTTTGTATTTTGTGCTATGTTTCATTTATAAGTTCTTTCAATCGAGTGTTGAGCTTTGAAAGCCGGTGAGATGTACAAGGTGTAACTGCATTGGTTGATCAGCAAAACAGTGGAGATGAATGTTATGTAATTCACCTATTTAGCGCTTTGTTTCAACCCATATCTGGAAGATGTGAAAGTAGGGAAGTTTACCTTATTGTGTAGCATTTGATAGAAAGGATCTTTTTAGGGTTCTGGGAGTCTTCACTGTTGGATTGGATAAGGAGTTGTCTGAGACTGTGGTGACCTCAACAAGGCTTTTTCTGCAAAATTTAATTATTTGGCAAATCATCCAAGGGATAGTCAAGGTACAAGGTTTTACAACTGTAATTAAAAATAAGACTTGGCATACCACGTAGGTCTTTGATATGTGTTGTATGACCCAGTTAGCAAGTTAGACGTTCATTTTATACATACTTTTTAAGGATTAGGTTAGATAGGAAACACTTTGTAGTAGTCAAAGTATGATGTCTTCATGCACAGTTTACTGTTGCTAGTTCAAAAATAGTCATAGTTGGTTCAGTATGTGTTATTGTGCAAACGCTTTCTTTGTTTCTGTTGCTATCTGTCAGTCTAGACTAGAGGCTGTGAAAGTTCAAGAGAATATTCCCATGCTGCTTTGTTGATGCAAACCTAATTAATTAGAGCTGTAAAATTCCAATAGCTTGAAATAGATACCCAATCTGGGATCTTGAGAGAGAATTCAAAATTAAAACTTGTTCTTCCAGGTTTATTTTGTTATTTAAATAATACACAAGTTGTTCTTGTTGACATGCATCCCCATGTCTGATTTCTTCAAACAACAACAAAAAAGCACTTTGGGGACATTTGAGCTAGTTATTTTATGATTATATATCTCTAGATATACTGTAGATACCAGCAGTAGAATTTCTTCAAATATGATTAAGTTCAGAAAATGTATACTTTGTAAAATATTTATGCAACTACCATACTGTACCCTCCTTTCCTCTGATTAAACATTTCCATACTTGATATAAATGTTTCTTCTGTTTATGAAAATTGGTTTATCCCCACCCTGTTTGCAGACTGGTGTTTCTTTCTTTAATTTTGACCTGTCCTGTGTGTTTCTGTTCTAGTTCTGTGATGGTCCCTTCTAAAAGACCTTCCCTTCCCAAATTGTATAGTTCTTCAAAATGGAAGACATGACTCTTACTCTTCCATTTTGAGTACGTGTAACTGGCTTCTACTGAATGCTTTCAAAGGAATGTGATGGTTCTTCTTCATTTCACAGTAGTTTCACTACAGTTCATCTGCTGTAATCCGTACGTAACAAATCTTTCTATAAGACTTTGCCTCTTTATATATAAACTCATGTAGTTGTTCCTGAGGATCCTCCCAGAGTTTTTCCTCTTCAGCATGTATTATTGTTCTGGGACCGTCATACCTAGTAAACACCACTGATACTAGATAATCTATTCCGGAAACATTTAGAGCAGAGCTGTCAAACTCGCGGCCTGCAGACCGGATGCATCAAGCGCTGGCCATGCCCATGCCCGGTTTAGTGAAGGGGGGAAGTCCCGATACATCACGTGATGCCACCGTGACAACATGAGTTTGACACCCCTGATTTAGAGTGTATCTTGAATTCTTCATGATGTTGGGTAGACCTTTCTAGTCAACATAGCTAGATAGGAAATGATTGGATTTGTCTAAACAACAGCTGGGATCTAAAGTTGATTCAGAATATTGAACAGTGAGAAATATGCCTCCTCCTATCTCTTCAGAGGGAGAGATTCCATGCCTCTCTCAGAAGGAATGTTTGTTTACTGGTCCTGGTTCCATGCAAATTTTTCCTTTACAAATACATTACAGATCAATGGAGTATATTCCATAGTTTTCTGCATTCTCTTTCTATTTGAATCCCTAAAGTCTAAAACTATAGCTGAGGGAGTTCTATTTGAGGCCCTACTTATGTTTCACATGAAATTCAAAAGGGGGAAATATCTGTGCTTAGTAATAAACATGGTTCAATTTATAATAATATTATTAGTTAACAAGTTGTAGCCAAAGATTATTTCAGGCAAAAGGATAAATTTTTGACTTTAACTCTAAAATATTTAACATAAGGGATACATAATCCTGGTCAATCTGCTTTAGAAAAGTTGGGTAGTTGGTCCTTCTTTATATACCTTTGTTTTCTAAATATTAAACATTTCCTATCCTTGACCCGTTTTTGTGGGGGAGTCTCATCCCAACACAAAGCCAACTGTAAAAGTGGCCTTTCAAACATATTTTGTAATCCTGCTTTCTTAGAAACTTAATATTGCTCAGCAACCTCTTAGTACTACCTTCTCTTTATATCCATAAAGTGTAATATTGTGTGAAAAATCTACATGCACAAAACATGTCTTGGCAATTTTTCTTTCTCCTGGTAATGTTCGTGGCTCTTGCTGATTTCATTTCCAATGCCCCAGTCTGTTCTCTTCCATCAGTGTTGACAAGGGATGTTTCATTTGTAGACTGTTCTCCTTGTTTCTGAGTCTCCATTTTTTGTATTATTTTTTTCTTTCCTATTTTCTTCTGGTTGGTTGCTTCCTTTCTTTCTCACTCTTGTGCTTTTTTTTTTTTTTGTCCTTTTGCTTGTCTGTTTATTTTCACCCTGTTTCTCCTCCTTTTTCTCTCCACTTCCGATATCCTCTTCCCGTCCCTTCTTCCTCTCCCATTTTTGGTCCTATTGAAGTTGAGCCCAATGCCGGGACACCACGCCGTAGACCTCTCTCCTTCTGTCCTTGCTGTGCCCATGAAGGTAACGTACGTTCTTGCATTCCCTCCATCCACGTTCCAAACTGCAGTTGAATTTATATAGGGACACAGGTCAACATGTGACAGTTTAAGTGCTTAACAAAACTTCTCCTTTCTTTCCTTCTTACTCAGTGATGCCTTCACTATAAAACGTATTGCAAAATGTCCCTGATAATATTGTAAAATTACAATATTCCTTTTTTAGATGTGAACTGTGAGGGTGACTATAATACTCCAGGCTATCTAAGCTCTTTCTTTGGGGTGGTAATAGTGCAATACAGCAAAGTTCCTGTTTGACATGCTAGATATCCCAAAGAAGTTCTTGGAAAATAGAGGAGAAACCAAAATCCTTGTAAAATTAATGGGAAAAAGAAATACTGTAGTTTGGCTTGGTTTGGTTTTTTGCAACTGATTTCCCTTGATTTCCCTCAAAGTTGAATGGTCAACCTCCTGACTTATGTGATATAGTTTGATTTCCTGAAGTCCATATCTTGCTCAGCATTTTCTCCACTTTATCTCATGTGGACCCAATATCCATTGTAGCGTTTCCATTTCCCAAGGCATGGGGCAAAAGGGTGGAATGTGACTGTCGTGTGTAACTTATGCTAACCACTGTATCTGCTTTTCATGGTGGACTTTCATCGACTGTACATGTTTCTTCCCCACCTCCACCTTCTCCTTCTGCTCATTGGCTTTTACAAAATAAGTCAAATAAAAATTTCCATAGGTCAGTAATAACACATATTTGGCTATTTTGTTTAGGAATTTTTCTTGGATGTATCCTCTCAGTGGAAAGAGTGGGGAGGATTTCCAACGCTTTTCATGGCTCCACCATTCTGGTCATTTGCATGTATAAGCTTTTCTTTTTCTCTCTCCTTCCATCATGGCTATAAGGGCACTTGTGCAGAGATGCTCAGAAAAGCATGCTTGGACTGAGCAATGGACAGGTATTGCCACTTGCAACATGAAACTCGTAATGCATTAGGATGAAGGGTTCATACGGTTTCTGTTCTCCTAATTCATAGAGGTTTTAGTGGTTTGACGGAGGAAAAAGCACAGGATGTCAGGCGACTGGAAGTAAGAATGCTACCAAGAACCAATTGGTTCAGTTCAACAGTGAGGTTCATGTGACAGTGAGATTCCTGAAACAGTGTCTAGTTTCAGGAACAATTGTATTTTCAGATGCTAGAAATATATTTTGTTATAGAAACCAGCTGCTGCATAATGTGTCCTAATAATATAATCAAACAATGGGAAAAAAAACCTGTTCCATTCAGTTGGAATTAGAAAACTGCACATAGAATCCAAATTGATTATGACTTCAGCAATTTTATACTATATTGATAAAATTCTGGGGAAACACTCTTCGGTTAGGATCTACCTTGTTAGTTGATTATTTCACTTCCAGTATTTCTTCTTGGCCTTTAAATGTAACCGTGCGCTGTTGAAGGCCCTGCAATTTTAAATATACAAAACACCTTTGGATATAGTTGTTTTTAAACTTTTCATTTTACTGTCTGTGAATTTTACAAATGGCAGTTGCAAAACAACTGGTTTGTCAGTTCAGGAAAGTTTGGATAGATTCACATTAAGAGAAAAGGCTTATCCTTTGGATGTATGAGGGTTTGGGAAACTTTTGTTGATGGTCTTTCCATTTGCTAATTTTCTAAATGTTTCTAGGTCAATTTAGCCAATAGAGGCAAGTCCTTCATAATCAGAATTGCTTAGAATCGCTTGTTTGTATTTGAATTGTTATTGTCTGTAATGAACTGCCACTATATATGATACATTGGTTGTGGATGCAGCTAATTTGCACAAACATAATGTGCCATTTAATCTGCCCTCAGAGATGGTTGTTGGATCTACTACTAGAAAATACATCTAGAAATTATTGTGATAGAAATCAGGAAGTGATTGCTTTTAGTCATCAATGTAATGTACAGGCCATGTCAACAAAGATATTTTAAATCAGCTGTGACACAAGGAAGTGTGCTGAGTTTGTACAGTGATCTATCTGTTACTCACTCTGTAGCTATGTGTCAAGTTGTGTTCTGAGTTATGAGAATGGGTGAGAGACTTAACATGCTTTTGAATATCCAGATCACCTAATATCCGTTATTCAAAGCTAGGCTGCTTGAAGATCTGAAATTACACAAATTAAGAAATACAACACAGTACCGAACAGAGCATTGCCATTTTGGCTATTTATTCTGGGGGGTGGGAGGCCTACCATCTAAGGAAGAATCTAGATGAATGCATAGATCCAGGGGAAGGTTTGGGTTTTGTTTTGTTTTGACTGTGTATTAAAGGCAAACTAACAAACCAACCTGTTGGGAGCGCTCTGGCAGCATCTCGCTCAGCTTTCTTTGCACATTTTGCCCCCCTCCATTTTTGTCCCTGCCTGACTGTTGAGCTTGTGAAAATAGCAGAGCTTGTATCTGAGAGCTGACTCCAACATTTCTCTTGGCAGGCATGGGGAAGAAGGATGACCCTAAACTGATGCAAGAGTGGTTCAAGCTGGTGCAAGAAAAGAACTCCCTGGTGCGCTATGAATCAGAGCTGATGATATTGTGAGTAAGCATTCTATACTTTGTGCCCCAACATAGAAAAGTAACAAATAGGTTGTAGCACCAATATGACTGCGGTTACGGATGCACTGCTTTCTGATAATCGTGACAAGAAAAAGTGGAAAATTGCTTTAAAGATGACTTGAATAAATGAAACATGAAAAGACGAATGTGATGAATGAAAGGTGAATGAAAAAGTCAGAATAGACGGTACTGTGTTAGATGAATTGCTGAGTCCATGATAGACAGCTTCCACAGTTCTAGACTGCGATTCCTGCATTACACCCATGCAAAATTCCGATTGTTCAAAACTGCTGATCCTTAACTGGAATAACTCTACAGCCGATTGATATGACAGTGTGGACTGTTTGGATTGTACAGAAATCATGATTTGGAATGCCCTTCTCGTTAATAAAGAATAAAATAAAAAAAATCAGCCCAGCTGGCAGATTCTGTCATAGATTTATTTTCTTTCTTTCTTTCTTTTTTTTGCTGTGCTTATTATATCTTTGTAGACCTGGGGTGTCAAACTCGATTTCATTGAGGGCCATATCAGGGTTGTGTTTGACCTCCGGGGGGCCCACGGGGGTGTGTGGCCAGCTCGACACTTGTGCCAGGGGCACCTGTGGTGGCCTGAGCGCTCTGCCAGTGAAAACAGGCTCCCAAGCTCCATTTTGGCTGCAACAGTCTCCTGCAACCCCATGCCAGCAACAATGAGCTCCATTTTTGCTGGCAAAGGCACTGTGGCCCAGTCCTTTGCTGTTTCCAGGACAGCCCCGCGGGCCAGATCTAAGCATCCCACAGGTCGATCTGGCCCCCCGGGCCTTGAGTTTGACACCCCTCTTCTAGACTACATAAAACTAGAATTCCCCGCCTAGAATTTTCAATGGGAGCACCATCTTAGTATCCTTTTGTTCTTCTATCGATGTACATCAGGAAAAGTACAAAACTTCTGATGTTGAAATATCCCACTTGGGTGTTTACCTGATCCCCTTACATTAGAGAATAGCTTTGCCCAGTCCTCCTTTGTAATCTGTGGAAGGGAATTGACCATTTTATTTAATTAAAGCTTATTTGGGTTCATGCACTCGTGAAGTTTCTTTGATCCTGGAAATTATGTCATGCCACAAAAATAGCATAGATGTTAAAACTGAAGGGTGTCACTATTGTTGAAAGCTTGCTTGACTGTTAATCCTTTAAAAGAGAGAGAAAATATTGGAATATGTCATTTCCTAAGCATCCTAGAGTTAGTCATAGCAGAGGTTCCTGCTGAAGTGACTAATAATTAATGATTCTCCATCTTTCTCTTCAGTGCACGTGAGTTAGAACTAGAGGACAGGCAGAGCCGGCTACAGCAAGAGCTTCGAGAGAGGATGGCAGTGGAAGGTAAGCCTGGTAGGGAGTTTCCTGTTCTCAGTAGAAACGAGATGTTCCAAATCCTTAGGGATATCTTGTCTTGACAAGTTTACTACTTTCCCTCTATCCAGATCAGCTAAAGACAGATGAAGAACTCTCAGAGGAGAAGAAGATCTTGAATGAAATGCTAGAGGTGGTGGAGCAGAGAGATTCTCTTGTGGCCCTACTTGAAGAACAGCGCCTTCGAGAGAAGGAGGAAGACAAGGATTTAGAAGCAGTTATGCTGTCCAAAGGCTTCAACTTGAACTGGTCCTGAGTGCATTCACCATGACTGGGTTGCTGATCTGCGCTGTCCATTTGGCATATGCCAAATTAGATGGAGCTTCCTGGTTAGAGGAGATAACTTGGAGCAGGAATTGCTTCAGGAATCTTCCAGCAGCTAAGTGCTTGAGCCAGGAGCTTTTTGCTAAGCGGGCTGCTTGTAAGGATTCAGAGACCTGTGTGAGGCTACAGAGCCGAGAACGAAGTCGTGATCTGAGATTGCGTGCCTTCCTTGAGGACCTGTGCAAGAGGTCAATGTCTTTTTTTGTGCGTGCGTGTGATCTCCGAGAAAGACTTAAAAATGAAAACATTTTGTGTGATTTTTTTTTTAAAAAAAGACGTTTAGCCAATTTAGGTGGGCCACAACCTGTTCATTTCATATTTACCCAACCTGTGGTATTAATGGATTTGTTCATTTAAATAACAAAGGAAAGGGGTGTCTAATTAATCTTCTGAAAGGTCACCTTGTAGCAGCCTTTGGAAGAGCAAACCACTCACAAAGCACACTGTGTATATGCTCTTCTCACCAAAGAAATCCGAAACTGCCACTGTGGTCTAAGTATGGAGGAACATCTGTACCCAAATGCTGGCAGGGAAACTTGGAACACTAAGAACTTGAAACGTGGTTTCTTGTGATTTATGGAACAAACACAGGGACAGAGGCAGACTTTTTCCACACACACCCTTCTCTGCAATCTCCACAAGTTGCCATTGTTCCAAGCAGATCCACCATGCAAACGTTTTCCTTTCAGCCACGAAGTGCTCCAGACTGAAAGAACTAGTTTTCCTGTTTTCTGATGACCTTAGACTGCTCTATGACCATTTAGACACTGGAAAGTGCTCGCGTTCAAAAGATGAGTTCATTCTGAGGCATTTGGAGGGAATCCCTTGGGGGCAATTCTCCAGCTTCAAACTTTCCAAGAGTTCAGTAGGTTTTTGATTCTTTGTGATTTGGGGAATATATTTTTCCTTTTTTTTTTTTTTTTGCACGTCAGAAATGAAGCAGAAGACCTATCCTGGCCCTTTAGTCACTTTAGATCCTTTAATGTCTATTAACTTATTTTTTAATACTTGAAAGAAAAATTGGTTTTGTACCTTTTTAAGAAGTGAACAGATGAGTGTGTGGTAAATCTGTGTGCCAGCCCAACCTTTCCATCTTTGTGTGTTTAATGCTTTCCCCTCTTCCCTGTATCTATTTATTAGAGTCATTATTAATGATATTACTGTTACACAGTACATTTGATCTGAAAGAAAGATGCTTTTAAATTCCAGACTATTGATTCTGATTTGGGCTTCTTTATATTTAAGGGGAGGACCTGGGAAGTACGTGGGAAGAATTCCCACACAGTATTTTCTTGCACTCTCAAGGGAAAGTTTAGGAGGAAAGAGCAGTGGATTTATTCCCTATACTTCAAAAGGGCCCCCTCTCTTCTCTGAGTATTGGTAAATATACTATGTTATTTACTGTTGTAAGAGGCTTGTAACTAGAATGGCACTGGCGCTTCTCTTCATGTAATCAACCAATAACAGTGGGCCTCACAAAGTCCAAGGGAAGGATTAACACCAATTTCGGTGTTTTTTTCTCCAGTGTCCCATTTCTGGTTTGTTTAGGAAGGGAGTGGGTGATTTTCCCCCAGTGTAAAAGCAAAAGGGACAAGAAATAGACTCATGTTTAACACCAGGTCTGAGATTCCATAAGCACATATTTTTAACCATGTTTCTCCAAGGTGCTGGCCTGCAACTTGCAGAATTTTCCATTACCAATGCACTGTGTTGGGGGGAGAAAACGCCAGTCTCTGAAATAATTGCATCTTAATTTACTAGACTGAACAGAGAGAAAGGGGTTCCAATGCTGTACTTATGCCAAGAAGGAAAGTTTCCAGCAAATTTTGCTTCGGCATTGCAACAATGTGAGAAGATATTCCTGCTGCTATGGCTATAAAAGCTTCCCAGAATTTTTTAGCCAGATGTTGGTTAATTGAAACAAGGATTTCCTTTCTGGTGTTGGCTACACCTACCTCTGAAAGGGACTGTACCTCTTTTTGTCTTGAAAGAAGCCTTAATTTTTACTTTTTTAGAAGAATATGGCTGCTGCCTTTTACCATTTATCAATAGAGAGTTTCTTTCCATGAAATACTTTGATGTGTATGTGTTCAAAAGCAACATCCTAGCAGCTGTGTTTTAGACAGTGCCTAGAAAGATGGGTTTTTTTCCAGGAGACTGAACAGGTATTGTTTTCTAAGTATGTATGGTAATTGCTGCTTTAGGCCAGCAAGCAATTCTGGCCACCTTAAATATCTTCATACCCAGTTACTTCAATTCCCAGAATTGGACTTCAATTCCCAGAATTCCCCAGCCAATTCTGGAAGCTAATTCTTAAAGTTACCAAGCCTGGACATCCCTGATCTACTCCATGTGATTGGAAGGAGGACAGACATTGTTTCTTTAATAGCTTTGTAAAAGAGGGAAGCTGCAACACAGTTGATCATGTGGCTTCCTTTAAAAAGGCACTGTTGTCCTATCCTCCTTTCTACCTGGCTACCTACCACAGCTGCCTGCCATTAAATTTCTACAAGTATCCCCCTCTACCACCCCGTTACAGCAACAAATGACAGGCAAAATCCTACTTCTGAAATTCTGTCTCACCTAATAAATTGGAAACAAATACAAATTGTTTACCCAAAGGTGCTTTTTCAAGAGGCAACTGGACTTTCTGATTTTTCTTTGAAGACTTTTCGTTTCTCATCCAAGAAGCTTCTTCAGCTTCAGAGCTGTGAAGCGAAATGTCTTCAAAGAAAAACCAGAAAGTCCAGTTGCCTCTTGAAAAAGCACCTTTGGGACAACCATGACCTGGATGGCTGAGAACCTCCATAGACACAAATTGTTTACATATGTAAAAAAAGAAAAGAAAATCCTATTTAATGTTAAACTCCTTTCCTTAGCTGTTGGGTTAAATTGATAATGACCATGGCCATTGTTAAGAGTTTAATGTGCATCGTTTCCCGTCTACAGATAGTAGTAAGAAGGGAGATTTGATACATCATATTATTTTTGGAATTTTGTTTTAATGTCATCAGTAGGAAGATTCCAGACAAACCTGTTTTTCAGCTTCATTATTTTCTAACCAAAATTTGACACTAATGAAAGAAATTCATTCCATTCATTCCATTCCACAAACAAAACTCTACTAGCTTTTTAGGACCTTGAAATAATATTGTGAATTGAAGAATTCATCCTGTGCTAATAGTTATTATCGTTTCCTGTGAGGATCTCTGTACAAATCCCCACGGAAGAGGAAAAGTCAGATTTGAAACATGGTTGTGTGATGATAGGTGTACACAGAGAAAGCTGCCCTTATATTGTATTTTGGTGATTAAAGCTGCACTACAAACACAGTTCCTCCTAGTTCAGGCAAATTCAGATAAGGAGCCACGGTAGCAGCATGTCTCTTTTATTACATTTTAGCCAAATCAAAATCCCCTTCAGGAATGCCAAAGAATGTCTTTCAACATCTCAATCACAAATGTCCACTTCCAGCATTCATGTTGCCTTGATATCTAAGAACGGATATCAAAGCCAAACAAAGAGAACATCCAAGGACAAAACATTGTGTTTAGAGCTTTTCACAGAAACAGGTACTTCTTTAATATTATGAGTCCTTAGTAAGTCCATTCCTTCAGCGTTTCATTTCTATTCCAGCTCTTCCAAATGGCCATGTTACCTGAGGCATCTTTATTCCTCCATGAATTGATAATTGCTTTTTTTGATCTCCACCAACCATTCATGCAACAATAAAACCATGAAACAAAAGATGATTATCCCCATAAGGCAAAATTATGAATGTTTTAAATTATCTTTATGGTCACAGCTGCAAAATGAGGAAATTAAGCTATTTTGGAAGTAATACACATGGTGGATGCATCTTTGCAATGAGTTGAATTTTGATGAAATGGTTTTTGAGCACTTGATAACCATATTTAAATTGTATTTATTGGTAGGAAAGCCTGCAGAAAAAGTAGAAATATTATAAACTCTCAAAAAACAATGAGAAGAGGCAGAACGTTGCTGGAAGAAGGGGATGTCTTTAGAAAAGTTCAAATCACACTTTTGAAAAGCTGATGGTAATTACTACACATGCCACGTGCTGAACATAACGGGGGATTGGAAAGGCAGAAATACATAGCACCCAGATGTTTCACACCAAGTAAGATTGTAAAGCAAATAGGGTGCATAATCTCCTGGGTTAAAGTAGGAAGAGATTTTTAAAAGACTTTTCATGGGCCAGATTCCTGATATCTAGGAAGAAGAAAAGAAAATACTACTTTCAGGTCTTGATATGATATGAATGAGAATGGAAATCATTTCCTCATTTTTTTTTTATTTTTTTTTGCCTTTAGCTGCTATATCTTGGCACCTATTCAGATGAAAGAGACACTGAATGGTTCAGTGTTTCTCAACCTTGGCAAGTTTAAGAGGCGTGGACTTCAACTCCAGAATTCCCCACTGGTGGCTAATAAGAATCAAGGCTGTCATGATTCTTATAAGAATTTACAGGAATTATAAGAATTAGAACCTACTGCATTCAGTAAACCAATAGAAATCAGGCTTTACTTTTTGGGAAATCCTTTTTTTTTTTTTAATTAATTTTTGTGACAAGAAAAGAATCACCCTCACTCTTACTAATTATGTTTCTTCCTCTTTGGCTGTGGGTATCATGAGGGAAGAATTGACTCTAGCCTAAGTGAGGATGGAATAGCTTCATCTCTTCAATCTCAGCTCTAACCCAGTTCTGGAGATTCAAGACCTTTCTTTCATTCAAGATTTCCACGGTTAAGACACAGCTTGCCCCAGGAACCTTAATCAGTTTGACACTCGTAGCATTTCCTGTAATGTTTTGCACTCACCAAGCTTATCATTTGACTGAATTATCAGGGAGTTTAGTTTGTTTTAAACATGGCATCTTGCCTTCTTTAAGACAAGTAGCAAGCATACATGTTGTGCCCTCTGGCTTTTTAACCTTTTTTATAGTACATACCATTCAGGAGCTTTTTAGAGTTACCCGCAGTGATGTTTAGAGTTGCATGATCTCCTGGTGCAAACAGAAAAAAAAAAAGTTGTCACTCTCTTTATATGGATTTAAGACAATGTATTCAACAGTATGTTTACATTTGGCTTCTCTTCAGAGATAACTGTTGTATTCATTTTCCATCCTCTTCTGTAAGGAAAATGAAAATGCTGTGAGTTTGGGAGTGTTTGCAATAAAAAGAAAACAAAACCCCCAGGAACAGCCTATTATTAAGAGGAAACAAAATTTTTATGCACCATAAAAGAATAAAAGTATTCCCTAACACAGATAATCCTCGACTTATGACCATGATTGAGTCCACCATTTCTGTTGCTAAGTGAAACATTTGTTAAGTGAATTTTGTCCCATTTTATGACTTTTCCTGCTGCCGTTGTTAAATGAATCACTGCAGTTATTAAGTTAGTAACATGGTTGTTCAGGGAATGTGGCTTCCCCATTGACTTTGCTTGTAAGAAGATTGCAAAATGTGATCACATGACCCTGGGACACTGCAACCGTCATAAATGAGTCAGTTACCCAGCCCCCAAATTTTGATCATGTGACTATGGGGGAATGCTGTAATGGTTGTAAGTGTGAAAAATGGCCATAAGTCACTTTTTTCAGTGCCACTGTAATTTTGACTGGTCACTAAATGAACTGTAGTAAGTTGAGGTCTACCTATAATACATTTGGGATATTTAATGGAAGTTGACAGGCAAACTAGCAGTTATTATTGTTAAAGCTATCAGATAGTGTCATTTCCTAATGAGACTGCAGGAAAATATATATTATGAGAACTCTCATAATCAGACTGTTCTATTGTGAGTATATGTGTAGTGTAATAGGAAATTACATACTGTATGTTTTACATCCAAACCATACACAATTCTTTACTTTCCAGTATGATCACATTTCATTCTGTAGAACCTTAAGCATCCTTGTTTTCTTGGGAATCAGATTTTTGCATCTTAGGTCACGGACAGATTTTTTTAAAAAAATAGTCCTTAGGGTTGTTTTTTTTCTTGTTTTGTTATGTGTATAGTTTGCCTCATAGCCAATTGGGGAGTTACCTCTACTTAATTTGGCTGAAATTCCTGAAGGATGGCTTTTATTATTCCCATACCAATCCTTTACCAAATGGCAACATATTTATTATGAGTATCATGTATCATCATTTGGCCATTACATCTGGCAAAAAAGTCATAATTTATTATGGGTTAGGGTTAAGGTACCGTAGATAAAGTAAACTCTGTCCACGGGGGAATTAGATCTTGACCAGCTCAAGGTTGATTCAATCATCCATCCTTCCAAGATCAGTAAAATGAGAACCCAGATTGCTGGGAGCAATATGCTGACATTGTAAACCACCCAGAGAATGAGGATGAAGGTTCGTTCTCCGAGCTTGTGGGCTGGTTTCCAAATGTTTCATTATCAGGGTAGGTAACATTTTCAGTGGAGTTTAGGATGAGTGAGGGCTGTTCAATTTTGACATAGATGGCAGTCTATGGTTTGAAAGGAGTCAAAGAGGCCATCTATGTCAAAACTTGAACAACCCTCTCTCAAAAGAGGCAGAGGAATATGTCATTTATCTCCAGTCTACAACACAGTCCTTTCAGCAGTTCCAAGAAGGCTCCACAACCATTTGCCCTACTCCAGTGACCCTAAGGATGCAGATAAACTTCCGAGTGGCCTCAACAACTCTCTAAAAGAATGCAAATGACCAGCTGTCTGCAAGGAATATAAACTCTTCCATTCCCCACCCTCCAGTCAGGGCTGAAGAAGCTTATTGAATGAGAAGCAAAACATCTTCCCCCCAAAAACCACAAGAAAATCCAGTTGCCTCTTGAAATAAACAGCTTTGGAACAACCATGACTTCGATGACTGAGAATCTCCGTAGACAAATCGTTCTGCACTTTCCTTTGCATGAATGCTGATAGTATTTTAAGATGTAGAAGTCACAGAATAACAAATTTGGAAGAGACCGTGGAAGTCTTTTAATCTAACCCCCTGCTCAAACAGGAAACCCTATAACTGTAATGGAGAACTTACGGCATGTGTTTCGGAAGTGGCACGTAGAGCCATCTTTTCGGGCACATGAACTGTTGCCCCAGCTCAGTTCCATTCCGCATGCGTGCACGCCTCCCGCCAGCCAACGGATTTTTGGGGTATCTGCCGCATATGCAAGGGGGGGCAGGGCACACGTGGGAGATGCGTGCATGTGCACAGGGGGCGTGGGAGCGTGGGAGGGTCATGTACGCATGCGCAGGTGGGCAGGAGTCATGCGGGGGGGTCGCATGCACGTTGCATTATGGGTTCAGGCACGCGCACACATTCGGTACTCGACAACAAAAAGGTTAGCCATCGCTGCCCTATACCATTCCAGACAAATGGCTATCCAATCTTTTCTTAAAAACCTTCAGTGATGGAGCACCCACAACGTCTAGTGGCAAGCCAATCCACTGATTGTTCTGTCAGGAAAAACAATAAAATTTGAGAAAAATGAAGTTTAAGCGCTAGACAAAAGGCATCTTACAGGATTCACAATTATTTTATTCTGCTTTTGAAGTCAAAGTGACTATCGGTGCTCATATTTCCACTTCATCCAGGAGGTGAAGCTGGTGCTTCAGAATGGAAACTTGAACATTTTAAACAGAGCATCTATGCAAATATAAGG